AAGGTAAGGATCAAATAAAAGTACAGAGAAATGTTAAGGAAATAGCAAAATGCCATGAAAATGGTGATCATTATTAGAAGTAGTCTTAATTTCCAGAAATTATGCTCTTCTATTTTGGAGAGGCCTTGTTCCAGAGCTCTAGGCCTTCATCACTACATTAGGAGAAGGCACTTATGCGGAAATCATACGTATGATGACTCAGTTTTATCCAAGGCTTCTTTGTCTGTTTTTAGAAGTTCATTTTTAATGATAGCTTTAAAAGCACAGAGAAATTTTGAGTACTTACCAGGACCATCAAAGTGGGTTTTTTTTTAAAGTCACTTTTGTAATTTTTCATATTCAGAGTAATTTCATAAGTTCAGTGTGGGGCACATTCTCAAGGTGAAAACCCAGAGGTGAATTCTACTTTAGTCTAAGAATAGCTTGGCTTGGCTCAGGTGAGCCTGTATATTTGAAATGTGTTTTCCCCACATATTTACGAAAGCAAGCAAAAAGGTCTTTTGCTCTAAATTATAGATAAATACATGACATTTTGCAGGCTCCAAAACGACTAGATTTTTCCCATCATCAAAGGCTTCATCTTATTAGTACCAACAAACTAACATATGCTAGAACAGCCAGCCTGACCTTGTTCTTTGTAAACACAAGGACATTTGATTTTCCAGTATCTGTTAGAATCAGTTTTGCCAAACCTTGTCCAAAAAGGGCAAGCTTCATCAACAGTATCTAACTCTTCAGAGATGAGTTTTCTGAATATGTAACAACAGATTGAAGCAGGCCTCTGCAGCTAGTGTGCTGGGCTCTTCATCCTTGTAATCTCTATCTCACCTTGAAATTGCAGAGCTACCTTTAAGAAAACAGCCTTGGTTCAGTCAGCTGGGTATGTCCTAAAAATATTTAGCTTTGAAAAAGGGTAAGTACATAGCAGGCCAGAAATAAGGACCTAATGCCAGTTCTTTCCTCTTACAAACCATTTTTACAAAGCATGGTCAAGATACTTGAATTTAGTTAGTCATGTGCAGAGTTCAGGGAACCTCTCTGTTTTTTCAAACCACAAAGAGTTTAACCACCTGGTCTCTGAACCTGCATATTGTGAAGCTTGTCCTGGATCAGCTCATTTTCTCCAGCTTCCTGCGCTCTTCACCCAGTTTGCCGTTTTCTCCTGGTAACCCAAGCCCTTGCCTCCAGTTTCATATCCACGGTTGAAGCCACCAGCCACCAACTCCTCCAGCTCCCCGCGTGACAGCCTTCCCCCTTCACGCGGCATGGCCGTGTTCGCATCCGTGTTTACCACCTCGAGTCTCAGAAGGGTAACACATTGCTCCCCCTGCGTAAGGAGAATTTCTTCATCTTAGCCTCTTAATTTCATCTTCCCCTTTTCCTCTGAGATCTTGATCCGGAAGTTTTCCCATGTCCTCTGGCTTAAGCTTCTTCCCTTCTGTTGTATTTGCTCCCACAGACTGAATATGCTTAAGTGTTCTTATCAATTAAATAGAAAAGTCCTTAACCCTGTGCCCCATTCTAGTTACTGCCCCTATGTTCTCCATTTTAAAATTGGACTTTCTGAAGAAATGCACACCATCCATTGAATCCTCACCCCACTTTAACATGACCCCACATATATATGTGTGTAGCCTTCACTACACTGCTTTTCACCAGGAGCCTCAGTGACTTCCAGGTGATTACAGTCCGTACAGACATTTCTCCTTGACTTGGGTGTGCGCTGCATTATTACCGTGGGCCTTACTAGGTTTCCCAAACCTGTGTGTCGGCCTTCAGTTTCAGACTCAAATATCCAGCAACCGTCTTCCTGTCTCGTTCATTGAATTGTTGGCTCATGCACATTCTGAGCATCTGCTATCACCAGACTCTTGTCTTTAAAGACTGATGAGTAAAGTGACAGGTTCTGCTCTGTCAGTGGGGAAGATGGGGGAAAGTCTCTGATAGCGACAGTACAGTGAACTGTGTACTTGGAGAGAAGCAAGGAAAGGGTGCTGTGAATATAGAAGAATTGGGACAGCTACCAGCCTGAGAGCTTTTAGGGATGTTACCTTTCAGACCTTAAATTAATTAGCCATGTAGGAAGAGAGAACACCTAAATCAGAAACCCCATAGTTATTCTTGGCTCCTTTGTTATATTCAGTTTTCACTCTTGGGTCCTACCATGAGCCCTGAGACAGGGCTCCAGTCCCGCCTTCTTCCCCATCCGTCCTACTTCTGTCCTGATTTGAGGCCTTGTCCTCTGTTGCCTGCATTTGGGGGTGGGGAGGTGTTACCTGCATTTTTGCGGTAGACCCACGAGTGGTATCCTTGCTTTATGTCTCCATCCCTTGGCATCCTCTTCTCTAAAGGTCACCATGGTGTTAGCAAAATGGCGATCTGCCATTCTCACTGCTCTCCTGAAAAGTCTCTGCTCAGAATCTCTAAATCTCTCCACATATCTGGCTTCACCCCTACACATTCTAATTCTGTGGTGCTGGCGGGCTGGAGCCTGTGTTCTTTGGTTCCCTAAGAGATATTGACACCTGACCAGACTGAGAAACCTCTGACCTACCATTGTCACGTCTGAACCCCTCTGTCTGGTTGCACAAGGGCCTCCATGACCCCCCCACTTGGCTTAGCAGTCAACCACATTTCCCACCATGCCCCATGTGTCTACTGGTCTAGATAATATCATCCCATTTTGTATGAATCCTGTTAGGGTATTTGTAAAAAGGACTTTCCAGAACACAACATTTTATTTAACTATCTGCTATTGTTATTTGTAATGTGTTTCCTGCCTTTTCAGTGGATGATGCTGGCAAAATAGAACATGATGGTTCCTCTGGAATGACCATGGATGCAGAGTCGGAAATTGATCCTTGTAAGGTGGATGGCACTTGCCCTGAAGTCATCAAGGTGTACATTTTTAAAGCTGACCCCGGAGAGGATGACTTAGGTAAGAGGAAATCTTCACCATATTATGCATCCTGATCAGGCACATCAACCTGATTTCTTTTGGCTGGTTGAGATTACAGACCTTTGAAATCTTGTCTGAAGATAACTTTTAAATAAGGATTTTCACGCAGCTGTGGAAAAGGATATGAAATATACTAAGGCAAACGGGTGGAAATGAAGTTTTCAGATAAATTCTCAGAGCTGTCATCTTCCCTGATAGGTGGCACCGTAGACATTGTGGAGAGTGAGCCTGAGAATGACCATGGAGTTGAATTACTTGATCAGAATAGCAGTATTCGTGTGCCAAGGGAAAAGATGGTTTATATGACCGTCAACGACTCTCAGCAAGAAGATGAAGATTTAAGTAAGTAGGTGGCCTTTTTGTGGGAGAAAGTCTTACGTTTCTGTAGCTCTCTTTTTAAATACGGTCAGTATTCAAAGGAAAATAAGTGGCATTATTGTAGAGATTGTTACGCTGCCGTGTGCCTCCAAGGGCAGTCTCAGTAACTCTTTGTGGATGCATAGAATGTTGCCTTACAAACACGTTAAGGTGAAAGCCAAGAAACAAATGATTCGTTCAACAAATACTTGTTGCCTGCTTAGGACTCTGTAAAAGTTCTAGGTGTGTAACACTTGAACTTTCTTTCTACTTGTCTGTTACCTGAATTCAAATAAAAATGCCTTTCCTGTGATCTCTGTAAACGTGGTCACAAAAGTTGATATAATTTCCTACTTAGATGTCGCGGAAATTGCTGATGAAGTGTATATGGAGGTGATCGTAGGGGAGGAGGATGCAGCGGCGGCGGCGGCAGCCGCTGCAGCGCACGAGCAACAGATCGACGACAGTGAAATCAAAACCTTCATGCCAATAGCCTGGGCAGCGGCTTACGGTAAGTCCCTTGGCGGCTCTTCAGACGGACTTGGCTCGCAAGTGGGACTTCATGATTGAAAACAGTGTCTGTGGCCTTAGGTGTCCGAAATAGGAAACACCACTAACCTGTAAGGGTTACTTGATTTGAACAAGAGGACAGTTAAGATGATAAAGTCTACTTTCTGTGTTTATTTATAACAGGAATTTCCTCTGTGTGTGTATTACATAGAAGGAAGTACTGTAAGAAGTACACAGGCTTTCAAGCTGAACCTTTTCATCTTGATCGTATCTGGCCCATGACTTTACAGTTTGGGGAGACGACACGGGAGTTCATGGGACAAAATGCTGAGATGTGTTTTTTAGATTTGGAAGCAAGGCCTTTCCTGCTGTCTCACTATAATAAATGCGGTCCTAAAACCCATTACCTAGAATGGGGACTTTCTGTCATTCATGAGTATCATGGCTTACTTTTCATTGTTATAGTTAATAAAGCATCCCTAATTTTTTATAGTTTATAATACTGTATGATTTTGTTTTTTAATGCGCATTGTTAGGTAATAATTCTGATGGAATTGAAACCCGGAATGGCACTGCAAGTGCCCTCTTGCACATAGATGAGTCTGCTGGGCTCGGTAGACTGGCTAAACAAAAACCAAAGAAAAGGAGAAGACCTGATTCCAGGCAGTACCAAACAGGTGAGGGCACACAAGTCCCACAGCGCAGCGTGCTTGGCGAGCTCTCAGATGAAACTCTAGTATGTATCCACAGAGGTGTTGTGATGGCATTTTAGCTGCTAGACCACATGTAGCTTTTGTGTGTGGAATTTGAAAATATAATTTTAAGAATTCAGTGATATTCATGAATGATTGCCTGGGATAAAAAGAAACAGGGAATGGATCAAACGTGGGTGGGGGAACAAAATTCAAAACTCAGGTGGTTTTTATGTGGAAATGAAAAGAAATCCCTCAGACATGTTACAAGCATTAACTGTTTTAAAACCTAAATTAACGCAAAGAATTGGATCATGTTACCTTAAGGCAGGCTTAATTTACAGAGCAGTAGGACAAGTACCTCAGTTTACCTGACCCTATTCCTGTCTATTCGTGGATGGTGATTTGCATATTAAAATTTTCATAGATTTAAGCTTTACTGTCGAGTGACACAAAATTAGGTTTTTCGGAATAACCAAAGCAGGAATTGTGACTACAAAACTTGATTTTTATGAAGAATTTTCTGCCGATTTCTAAATTGATAGAGCTTTGATCACTAGCTGGCAGAGGTTACGTATTTATTGATTGATTTTTTTTAAACTGGAGGGACTGAGGTTGGTTACCACCAGACTGAATGAAGTTTTCAGACCAGGGTTCTCTTTATGACAGGGTTGCTCTGCCTCTTACATTGAAAAAACGGTAGAAGGAATGTTACGTAGCAGATAGCTTAATGTAGGAATGCTTGCCTAATAACGTTCCGAACACACACTTGAAATGCTTGCAGAAACCCAAATGGAACCTGGTTTGATCACTCATGCTCCTTTCTTTTCCTTTCCTAGCAATAATTATTGGCCCTGATGGACATCCCTTGACTGTCTATCCTTGCATGATTTGTGGGAAAAAATTTAAGTCGAGAGGTTTTTTGAAAAGGCACATGAAAAACCATCCTGAACACCTTACCAAGAAGAAGTACCGCTGTACTGACTGTGATTACACTACCAACAAGAAGATAAGTTTACACAACCACCTGGAGAGCCACAAGCTGACCAGCAAGGCAGAGAAGGCCATCGAATGCGATGAGTGTGGGAAGCATTTCTCTCATGCTGGGGCTTTGTTTACTCACAAAATGGTGCATAAGGAGAAAGGAGCCAACAAAATGCACAAGTGTAAATTCTGTGAATATGAGACAGCTGAACAAGGGTTGTTGAATCGCCACCTTTTGGCGGTCCACAGCAAGAACTTTCCTCATATTTGTGTGGAGTGCGGGAAAGGTTTCCGTCACCCGTCAGAGCTCAAAAAGCACATGCGCATCCATACCGGGGAGAAGCCCTACCAGTGCCAGTACTGCGAATATAGGTCCGCAGACTCTTCTAACTTGAAAACACATGTAAAAACGAAGCATAGTAAAGAGATGCCGTTCAAGTGTGACATCTGCCTTCTGACTTTCTCAGATACCAAAGAGGTGCAGCAACATGCTCTTATCCACCAGGAAAGCAAAACACACCAGTGTTTGCACTGCGACCACAAGAGCTCGAACTCAAGCGATTTGAAACGACACATAATTTCGGTTCACACGAAGGACTACCCCCATAAGTGTGACATGTGTGATAAAGGCTTTCACAGGCCTTCCGAACTCAAGAAACACGTGGCTGCCCACAAGGGTAAAAAAATGCACCAGTGTAGACATTGTGACTTTAAGATCGCAGATCCATTTGTCCTAAGTCGTCATATTCTCTCGGTTCACACGAAAGATCTTCCGTTTAGGTGTAAGAGATGTAGAAAGGGATTTCGGCAACAGAATGAGCTTAAAAAGCATATGAAGACACACAGTGGCAGGAAGGTGTACCAGTGTGAGTACTGTGAGTATAGCACTACAGATGCCTCGGGCTTTAAACGGCACGTCATCTCCATCCACACGAAAGACTATCCTCACCGGTGTGAGTACTGCAAGAAAGGCTTCCGCAGACCTTCCGAAAAGAACCAGCACATAATGCGACATCATAAAGAAGTGGGCCTGCCCTAACGATCCCACTATGGACATTTGTGGAGTTGTTGGCCTTGAAGCAGAAATTTCATTTTAGAGCCAATTGGTCTCGTTCACATACAATACTGTATATTGATTATGCCGTGTACAAATAGAATTATTGCTTATAGTTGAGTTGGTTTTTCGTTTTTTGTTTTTGTTTTTGGTTTTTTTTTTTTTTTTTACATTTTGTTTAATAGTGTGTTCTGAATTCTATTCAGTTTGTTTAATAAATGGGGGAAAGCAGCAACAAGTAAGTTGCTTTTAATAAAATAATCCCTGATTCTATACTGAATTTTTCTATCTTAGAAGTTTTATATTTATTTAAATATTTACCTTGCTTACCTTGATGGTACTCTTCTAAGACCATTTAACTTAAAGTTAAGGTAACTTTAGATTGGTAACTCTGAAAGGACTCATGTTGACTCAGTTCCCCCCCCCCATAAATTTCTCACAATAAAATTGTCAGAGACCTCTACTAACATAAATGGGAGGTTTTTACAGTCAGCTCTAATTATCCTAACATGGAAGTCATTTACTCGTCTTACTATTTTCAGACCACATGACAATGAAAGTTTCCATTTGAGCTTTTGTGTCCCTGGCATTGCTGAGGAGAGAACAGTGGCTGGGTTCGTGTTTCCTTTCCGTTTTGTTCAGCAGACAAACTATACTTCTTTGGGGGCTTTCTTTGGTGTATTGACATCTTTTGTCAGCATAGCAAACTTTTAGAAAAACTTCCTTGACAAATTTTACTTGATGCTGTTGTATTTTGATTATTCCGTCTGTGCTGCTTTGTCTTGGAATGGTTGTGTGCTACAAATGAGATTATCGAGGACTGCATTTTGGAATCTCCTAGAGGTAATTCGTGGCTCGTAGGATCTTTTGCGACTTTATATATGTAAATGTACCCTGAATTATATATATGCACATATATAGAGAACATGTATCTGTGTGTATTGCTTATTTTACATATTTATACACACAACCCCAGTAGTAGTTAAGATCTATAATGAAAAGTATTAAATTTACAATAACATGAACGATGCAGGGATGCACGAGAGCATTTTGTGAATCATGCTCTTCAGAGAGACTACTCAGGTGAAGAATTAGAAGGAAAATAAGGACACTAGTATTTTTAAAGAGTAAAGGTATTTTCTTTTAAATATCTTTGGTAATTGAAAAAAATAGACATTAAGATGTTTCTAGATAGAATGTTTTCATACAACTTCAGCTCCATGCCTTTATATTTTTCTGAAAAGCTAATGAGTATCTGGACATAGCTCCCTCAGTTCTCTCTGGAGCCCGTGAGGGAACCCTGCGTCACCCAGTGAGGGGGATTAAGGAAACCACAGCTCCGTGTCCCAGAGATCGGGTGCTGATTATGACTCAAACTTGGCAGGTTCAGCCTGCCCTGTTACTTCTTAGTTACAGTTAGCAAACTTTTAAAAACTGAATGCTCAAATTGGCTTTGGTTAGAAGATAAAGGTGTGTCTAAGTGCATGAGGAAAAGCGGAGGCCTTATTTGGAACGTCACCAAGTCTTTCACAGTTTTGTTTTTCTTTGAGAGCCGACATTTTTTAAACAAGCATTTCTGAATCAAGAGTCAGAAATGCATAGAATGAACTTGGCTAATGAGAACTAGATTATGTTAAGATGGATCTTGGAAAATGAAAAACACTTTTTGGGGTCCTTTAAATTGGCTGTCAGCATATGAGTATCTGGCACATCGTAGGAGATTTTAGGAATTTTCTTCCCACTTGATAGTTGCCTTGCCACTTCATTATGGTGCTCCATCCCCTCTGTGCTGTTAGGTCTTGACCTTTCGTCTTTCTCTTTGCCATTGATACTTGTATTCAAGAAGTATACTTATAGGGTTAGAAATCTAAATATTTGGTGGTTGGCAAGCCTCTGAAGTGCTAGGTTGATTTCGTCCAGTTGTAAATCAAGTGCTTTAGGCTGGTATGAACTCCAACCTGAATGCCAGTTAAAGCCAAGGCATGGGCCTATCCTAGTGGGAGCTCCTGTGCCCTCTTGGCTCTCATACCTGCTTTTCTTTTCTTTTTTTTTTTTTTTAAATAACTTAAACAATTGTGTGATTCATTGCCCTGCAGTACTATCCTTGAAAGCTCTGTCTGTTTTTTTTGTGAGAACCTTTAAAATCTCCCTTCTTTTTTTTCCCCAGAAATCATGTAAAAGAAGACACTTAAATGAAAGTGGAAATTTATTAACTTTAAAACATGCTGTAAAATTAGTACAGAAAATATAAATAATTGGTCATTTAACTATATTTTTTTAAATAAACTGAAAGATAAAGAACACAACACTCTACACACTTTATATTTCTCTTACATAGTCTGGAATCATACACAGTGTACTTTCTTTTTAAAGCACAATATTGAAACCTTTAAAAGGTATTTAAGGGTTTGGTCAAGTGAATATGATGAAATGTATTTGTCTGTATAAAGAGAAAATGAAATTGTAGTCACTGTTATGTACTGACATTAGTTACAACCTAGTTTTAATTCTTAAAACAATTTTGATTAGCAAAGCTAAAAAAAATGGATGTTTCAGTTAAATGTTTTAAAGAGGTACAGATTTTTACAAGGACATAATATAAGTTATTGTTCTGTAGAAATATCCTATTAAATATTGTATGTCCCTCCCTCTGTACACTTTGTAAAAAAAAAAAAAGTAAAATACATAAAAAGAAAATCATATAGGGATGTGTGACATTATTGTAATTGTGTACTTGAGAATAACGTGCAAAAATAAAAATCAGAATATTTTCCTGTTAATGGATGTTTAGTCTATTTGATACCAGTACTAAGTTAATGCTTTTTCTTAAGGAAAAAAATGTACAGTTTTTGTAAAACCTAATAAACATCAAAAACAGTGGATTATTTTCATTTCCCCATTTCTTAATTCCTTTTATGCAGCAGTGGATTGCAAAATGCTTGATTGCTTTGAATTTTGTGACTTGATGCAAATACTCCTCATAGTTCAGCCCTGCAAATTTACAAGTAATATGTCAGAGAACCTAAGAGATGATGGGTGAGTCCTTTGATGAGCATGTCCTTGAAGTTCCTTTTTTCCCTTTTATCTTCATAAGGGATTTGTTTTATTAGCATCTCCAGTTCCCCTGAGACGAATTTGCCATGTGTAATGGTTTCTGAGAACACTTAAGGTTCATTTCGTTATCACTGCATAGCACACTTAATCACGGGGTGTTGTCCCCACCTCCACAGCAGAAGCCCCGCACTAGAGTGACACCTCTGTGGCCACATTTGGAGGGCTTTCATTCATAGACGCTAACACGCTAGAGAGTGGCCACAGTTAGAAAAATCGGAAGTTAGGTAAAAGTGACCAGGAGTCAAAAGAGAATAACCTTGATCTGAGCCATCTTTGATTTTTAAAGATGAGATCCTCAGATCTTCAGCTGTGTAGGAACAAGTGTGTGTTTGCCTAATAGTTGAAGCAGTAAATAATCAGAACTTGGGGTCAGCAGTCAAGAGAACACGGTGAGTGTCACTGCCCAGAGCCATAAACCACACCAAAGCGGAGCGTATGAAAGCCTTCGTTGTAACCGAATGCCTGGTAGACAGCCTCTTACTGCTCAGATCCCAGGCAGGCAGGTAAGGTCCGGTTCTGTTCTCTGGGAATCTCGGTATTAACAGTTTGGTTGCCCACAAATGCTAGGGTCCGTGAAGGAAAAGTGGCACCGGTCCAAACGTTCAAAGGGTGATATTTTAGAGCAGTGGTTTTCACAGTGTGGTCTGCAACAGTGGCAGCCGCAGCATCCCCTGGAACTTGGTTAAAGAAAAAAATTCTTGGTCGCACGCCTCACCCACCGAATCGGGCAGCTGGGCACAAGACCAAGGTGATCTGTGTCTTAACATGTCCTCCGCGGGCTTCTGACGCATGCACAGGTTTGGGAAACCGTTTCAGAGCACCAGGGGAACCGAAAAGATCACTGGTGCAGCATTTTGTGTGGTAGACAAAATCTTTCTCTCGCTCTCTCTCGCTCTCTCGCTCTCTCTCGCTCTCTCTCTCTCACACACACACACACACACACACACACACACACACACACACACAACCTA